GCCGACTGAAAAGAGAAACAATACAATTTTTTGCCACTAAACCGTTCTCTGGAAACCGACCTTTGTCCAGACTGACCCTCTGGCTCAGATGCTAATATAGAACTTAATTTTTATCAGTTTCCACGGTGATTTTGCCGGAACGCTAGCGTGATGGCGAACTGATGCAAAGTCGATCCAGTTTAGTTTTCATACGTAGGCATCAAATATGGAGTGAAGAAATGCTTTTTTTTTCTGAGGCCTCAAGGAGAAACAGGTCTGGCAGCTGCAAGTGTGTCATAACAGCTTAAAAGCAGTATTATGAATCATTTGGTTTTGATACATTACATTCTTGAATAATGATACTGGATGATTTAAATTTTCCTAAATTAAGTAAATATCAATTCATAATGAATGATATGGAAAAACCGACATAGAAGGCAACTCAACTGTCGCTTACAAATTAAAATAAACTGCTGAGATAAACTGAACTCATACTGAAATACAACTCTACGACTTTACCTTACATAAAGGGTCTGGCCTTGAACAAGCCATGCTGTATCATTAAGATATCGTTGTCAACGGACCCTGATTCTTACCGTAGCATATTACATCATTAAAGCCCAAGAAATATTAAAAATCGATTAGCTTAAGCTTAGCCCTAGCTTTGACCCCTACCGGTGACTAGCATTTAATTTCTCCTTAAAATATCACCCCTGAATCAGCTATGAAGGTCACGAAAATAAAAGAAATGATCACCAAAAGAGGAACCTCTAGATTGTTAAAAAAAACTCTCCTCGTTAGCACCTTAGATAATGTACAGAGAGCGGTATAGAGAATATGAATACTTATCTTAGGGTGCGCAGGAATAACGCTCGGCTGAATATACTCCCCTGCAAAGCTTGACTTTAGGCCAAAGATATCAAGGAAACGATAAACTGAGTCGGTCAAAGGTGTTTTATGCGGAAGTGTTGTTTTATTCAGTTTGAGATGTATCATTAAATTATTGACCAAATATTAATTAATAAGTTGTGATGAAATCAATTTCATTTGATCTAGGGATGAAAACCAAGCAAATATACCTCACCCCCAGCGTGAGCCTGGGTTCGAGTCCCGTCGAAGCCTGAATTTCTTCGAGGATAATTTCCTCACAATTTACAATTTTTTTTAATTCTTTATAATTTATTTATTTTCAGTTAGTTGTCAGTTGGTAGCATTTTCCCCTTTTCCAATGTTAATGTTGTAACTAATGAAAAAAAATTACGTATGCATCAAAACTTTATCTATTCACTCTGATGCTATTTCGTCCTCGGAGACCCAGGGGCTGTGGGTCGATTTCAAGTTAAGGCATGAAGAGCCCCTGGGGACATTGTCTTACAAGACTAGTTCCAAACGGTCGCAGTCGTTCTGGCATCTGATTGGTGCCAGAAAATCTTTGTGTTTTTCTGCCCAATCAGAGTGAAGTGTGCTTTAGATC